ATATTCCGCACAAGCCTTGTGATTGGCGAGCTCATGGATATTTCATTCCCAATTATGCATAAGTCTGTATGCCACCCGTTCACAACTGTTTACTATAACAATTGACACCATAGTTCGAGGCGTAGCTGGTGGTCAAAGAGGAAAAGGTTTTCCAGAAATTTCTATTTCTAAGCCCAAACAAGATGCCTGTCAACCAATTACAGTTTGGTTGTTGGTTCGTTCGTCAAGCTTGGCAACTGGACTGCAAACGTTTCATCACCAATCGAGGTGACATCCTCAGTGCGGGGTTGGGTGGGTTGAGAGACCCATTCAACCAACCCGACTCTCCCCAGCTACCTATTTTCCACAAGATTGCCAACCAATGGTATTATTTTCCCGTTGTAAATCGGCTTCAAAACTTGCAACTAGAGTTCAACGATCCACAAACAGCATACGGATACTGTATTCAGGAAGGATTTTTCGGGCCAAAGATCCATCAGAATGAAGTAATAAACGTCGTACTCATATCAGATATGTAGGTTGAATTTGCACCGGGGAGCTGTTCTTGCGTAGTGAACAAGATCGGGATTGTCCCCCCTTTCCACAATTATTTTGAACAGCTGCTTGGATAGTCCTGCGTCCAGGTTTTTCTTCTAGCATAAAGACAACCCATATAGTTGACAAATTTATCCGGACAGTCTTTGGAAAAAGTTGATTTGCAAATGAGTGTATTTCTCGGAAACAGTCCAATTTGGGTTCAAGCAGATCATAAAGTTGAAGGAAACTCGGGGACTACGCCTACCTGATGAGCCCCAAGAAGGCTGAAACCGGTCTGTCGAAGATTTTCAGCCACCTCGTGAGTAGTTTCCTTTATGGAACTAGGAATTATTCTGTTGATTTCAAACAGATTTCATCATTGCAAAACCATAATTTATAGCACATGTTTATTCGGATGAATAAATGCATTGATTGGTCAGTCATTTGAATGGGTTTGTGATTTTTGGGTTTAAACAGACTTTACTTGTTCGAGGTCATCAATGATTTGTGTCATATTATCATCTGTTCCCTTGACGTGAATGATCCAGCCCGAAGGTTACCCCATTTCTCAACTACCGGTATATAGTTTCACAAATGTTGCCCAGCATTGCAGGACTCCATAACATGACAGGGAAAGTGAGCCATATACATATCAGTTTATCCTCCCTAACCGGTTGAGTATTGTTGAGAAGGGATGTTTTCAAGTTACTGAAACTGAATTGGGCTTGGCGAAAATTTTCTCAGGCGGTCGACCTTTGATGGACTCAATATATGAGCTTTTGGTTTACAGATTTCTACCAGCTTGTCACGATACTGTCGATACTCTCACTTAAAAAGCTCAACCGCTTTTTCCACCATTTATTCTTTTACATCCGATGACGGATTCGGCCGGGTGCTTGATATTGGCTTTTGGGCTGTTTTGCATGTCAGATTTCTATCTGCCTTACGCACGTCAATCTTCTGTCCGTTCATTCTGGACGATACGTTCACCAGTCTAATTGTGTCTATAATGGGCACTTGGATGTGTTTATAGTCGAATCCGTATTCAAATAAGGCCGAGGCTTGGTTATTCACAATCCTTCCAATGAATGCTACGAATAATTAGGTCTGCTCTCACTTGGGTTCCGAGTTCACTTAAACTCCTTGAACTACCTTAAAACGCACAACTATATAAGGGACATCGCAACCTGTCCTAATATATATATCGTAAGATGGAGGGAAATTAGGGATGCACGAAAACAGCACCGTTTGTTATATATCACCACATGGGTCAATCCCCTAGTCATTGTTTGGGAAGTTTCTAGTACTCTAACCTGGCACTTAACATGTATCAGCGTAGCCAAGATTCACCATTATTCCGCATACTCTTCGTACTTCTCCGGATCTACCTTAAGACGTACTCCAGTTAGAACCTGCTGTAGCAAACGGAACATGGTCGGACAAGGAGTCATTTAGAGTACGAAGAAAACCACTAGGCTAGTACGATGAGGTCGGGCGATGAGGTGGGTGTCAACTAACCAGTCGGAAACCCCGCTGATTAATCACTAAAACATTCGTCCCCATTCAACATTACTAACTATGGTGTTTGCTTAATATTTGTGCGATGTTTCGAAGACACGGATGGTCAAACACAAGTGATATTATTTTGACTTCATCCAACAGTATAGTAAATTCATCACCCTGTGGCAAAACTAGGCACTTCGGTGATCGAAGTGATATCAGAATGTCGGTGAAAGGTTCGAAGAAAATTAGGATGAACTTTAATGGTTCCAGCATTCACTTTCTCAGTGAGCTTTCCATTTGGCTTGGTCGAGCTACCCATGCCAATAAACTTTTTAACTACCTCTGGACCGGTGTTGATGTATAAGAGAGAGGATTGGATTTAGTTGATACAGTCTACTGGATTGAGGAAAGTAACAAACGAATTAGCACAAACCAGTGAAAAGCTTTTGTGTAAAACGGTTGACAGAAAGGATGCACCATTTGGAAAGTGGCCATCCTGAAGAGAGTAGAAGATGCACAGACGCATATTGGACAGGCTATGGATTATGATTATGGGTGGTCCTTTGGATAATTTAGTTGGCTAGCTCGTGCTATCATCAGTGAGAAGGTCTATGATCTTTGGTCTTAACCTTGCCCCCAACCGAGTGACTAGTTCTATTGGGTCTACATCCTGTCAGCTGATGCTCTTTCTAATGTCTCCCTAGGTCGAGTGGGTCATCGGGGACCTAAGAACTGTTTCGATTTGTATCGATATATGGTCTCCTGGATATCCGCTGTTTGACTACACTATATAGATGATAATATGCTTCACTTCTCAGCCTCACAAGATAGCTGTGATTTGTAAGTTCAGTTAGAATCTCAGTTCAGCTCTTCTCGTGATTCATCTGGTAGTTGTTGTCACAATCCGATATCTCGTCCGTATGTGTTTCCCTTTGATGCACAGCAGCCTCAAGTGTTCCGTCTTATTTCGTCACATAAGTACATCCGCTTCTTCTGCAGCTCACCCCAGATGTTTGTTTATAGTATGTGGAAACTTTGCAATTTCAACCGACGGTTCGTCTTGTAGGTGAGGTCAGTCTGCGTTCGCAATCAAGTTCCCAGGCTTAGTGAACAAATCAGCAAATACCTACACTACCCGAGCCGTCAGCATTCTTTTCAATGATCTGGTTTCTCAAGCATCATTATCCAATGGCGATATTGCATTTTTTCAGAGCCATCTTGAATTCTTTGTTTTCTGTTTGGAAATGATCCATGAGTTTGTTTTAGGTTATCTTTATGCGACTGGTTGTTGGTTGCTGAGACTTCAGTTAGGGATCGCACCCTCAATGGATGTCACAGGTTAGTCAGCTGATACTTGTGAGATGGCTATCTGGCGTTAAAATTGGTTACTTCGAACAACGCATCCTTCCGTTACAACCACTGTTATTCGTTGGGCTGAATTTCCAGATAAAGAAGATTCTTACACCATTTAAATCAAAACTGTATCTGTTAACACTGCGTCTGTATTTCCAACATTTCTCTGTGCTTCTGCTAGTGACCGACGGTGCATCAGCTACTCAGAGCTGTCTCACAGAAGTTGAGGTGACTGAATGAAAATTCCCCTGCACTATTGATTATCATATTCAAAATCAAACCGTAATTAACAGAAACCACAATGATACGGGTCGAATAAGATTACAGGGGTAGCACGTGACACATGTTTGCCCGTCGACAAGTATTGTATTATGGGGAGTCACCCATTGGTTACACCTGAACTAGGCCGCCAAACTACGTGATAGAAGACAGAAGAATTCGGACCGAGCTGCATTGCCAAGACAGATCAAAACACACAGAGCTAGTGCGTAAATATATACGATTGCTGAATTGCTAACTAAGGCGATTGGCTTCATTCGTTCTGTCTAACCAATGAAAACGTTCCTGTCGCCAAAATTTTCACACCCACTCCGCCAGCCTGGTACTGCTAATCCGCGTTTAGTAAGCTACACCCACGCAACTGCTCTCCGGAACGTGTGGTAACGACGGTAACCTTAGCGGTGCTTCGTTCGCCGCGTATGTACTTTCTGCGTCCAGGTACCTCCCCTAGGTGACCGGTGGACTGTCATAGGCAGAGAAGTTTCAATGGTATTTAGAAAGAGAAGGACAATAATAATTAACGTAGAAAAACAACTAAGTTATTAGCTTACAAACCACGAAAGTTATTTCGATAAGTGCTACCTAGAAGTGGGTTTAGGACAGCATGTCTTAAAAGAGATCCAGGAATAGTAATAATAAACTCGCAGGACGAATGAAATTTCAAACAACATAAAAACCACCACACTTGTGTGTATGATGTATGCGTATGTGAATGTATATATATATATATGTATATGTCAGTACATGTCAAAGCGTATGAAAAGATTGGACTGCAGTTGTCACCACACTGATGCTAGATTGAAGCTGGACTGTCTACACTGTAAAGACTAATGTCACAAGAAATCAATGCAGGAAAACATGGGGAGCTGTTTTTCCGGCAAATTGTGCTCCACGGCATTGGTTCCCCAGAGCAGCAATAAATATCTTCATTATTGTGCATTTTGGTGGGGATAAATCTGTCGTCTTGCAAAACGACTCCAGCATACTTTCACAATATTCAAAGGAGGCATTCATACTCTGTTCCAAGAAACAGCATGAAGGCGATCGATTGATTTTCATTGTCGACCTCCTGAACAAGAAACTGCTATCAGAGCATCCTGAGTTTAACTGTACCGGTATCCATTTCCCCACAATTTATCTATAGAATGCACTTGTTTTTTGTCATCTCACATCTCACGCAAACACGTTCGTACTCTGCATGAAAACTAGTGCACGCCGAGTTGTAAAAGTGTCGAAATGCGGGTAATCAAAACGTGTCCGTGGGTTTTTCTCATTCATTTGTTGTAAACTTTATTCAGAGCCACAAAATATTTCCATCGCATAGTTGATGATGAATTGTTAACTTTCAGATACTTCAAAGGCTCAACATGAAGATTGAAAGTGGGAAAACGATAGCTTTGGTTGGGACCAGTGGATCTGGTAAGAGTACCATCGTCAACTTGCTCCAGAGGCTTTATGATGTCACCTCTGGTCAGGTGAGACACACTGTTTGAGACCGATTATTTGGATAATATACGGGCTTCTTTGAAGGCGTGCTATCTAGTATCTCGTTTTTTTTAGTAGTCCTTTACAGTTAAGTAATAAAGGATAACAGAAACCTAGTATCTCGTTTTTTTTAGTAGTCCTTTAAAGTTATGTAATAGGGGATAACGAAAACCATAGAGCTCAGTGATAATATGTGGCGTGGTTAGTCTCCTCAATCTGGATTCCCAAGCACAAATATAAATACAAAAATGCCAACATGCAAATGCATATATACATATATTCATGTATATAGGCAGATATGAAGAAAGTTTAGGTCAAAAAGTAATATCGTCTTGGCCCTGGCGAATTTATCAAGCAATTCGGCGGACAGACTGACCAGTCGATTGTTTACTTATCTAATATTATGCCCATTGGGGATCAGCTGTCCCAGACAGCCATTACGCAAGAAGCTATGAAGCAAATGTATCTGGTCGCACAATTGGGATCCGGTCATAACTTCAACTTCAAGTTTGTTTTGAGCATCCACGTGGTCCATCCAGATGACAAATGAACATTTTCACTTAGGAGCACATACAATATTAGACTGACCCACAAACTAGACCGTAATTGGTGGCAAAAGTTAAAAATAAGTTACAATTAGTGATCGCGTTCGGGATAAAATGAAATACCGAATAATTTTTTTAATCCTGAGAACTTTTCATGCTTGAAGCTTTCTTATAGTCCGGGTGTAGTCAATTAATAGGCAATCCACAATAGTTACTTTGTGAGTGCCATTATTTGTTTACCAACAAATTTTTCCTGGTAAAAACTCATTATATTGGGAAAAACGGTCAGTATAATTGAACTCATAATTTGCTCAAAATAAGACCACAAACTAGGGGACCATAAATTCTTTCTGAACAGCAACTGACAACGCACTGTTCTACTGTTAAACTTTGGAAGTAATACTTGTCATTACTTGTCATTTGTGCAAGGAAGTATCAATGCCCTTCGGTCAGTCATTTCAGTCACAAAGAACGCTTTAGAGTGAGCTTGTACAAAACTTGAAGTCGGTCAGAAGCACTCTAAATGGCTTCCTTCAGTAATACACTGAATGAAAAATGCTATCAGGTCCGTGGACTGAGATGAGAAAATGGTCCAAGAGGATGTAGTTATAGGGATGTAAATTAATCGTTCATTGCAGACCAGAAGGTTACAATTGTCTACTGATCAAAAGTAAATCAACAAACTCTTTTGAGGGTTTTCGTGCTGCATGTGTAGTACACTTTACAATTCCCCTTTGTATTACTTGGACATCGAAAAAATGTACAAGTTAGAAATCGTGACAAAATATCGCGAGGAAGTTGTAACTTTATACAGCAGGCCAGCTCGCACCAGCAGTGTTTTATGATACGCCTGAAAACTGGAATCAAACTAAAATGGTCCTCGAGTGCATAACGTTTCATATTCGAAAACAATTTTAACCATGAATCATTTAGGCCTCCTGAACTTCTCGGAAAGGGAGAAACCAGGATTATATTCGTCTACACCCTATGTGATAGCCCATTAGTTCATCGTAACCCCATTCCATTCAAGTGCTTTACGATAATCTGTCGTTGACATAACCTTACTATATTACAGAAGTGATGTTTACTTCTCCGTTTGTTAAATTTCAGACTGCGATTTAGACCAGCGATTTTTAGACCAGCTTTTATCATGATCACTGTAGGCGAAAGTCGCCATCAACCTTTAAGGGAATACTACCTGAATCTTTATCAACCAGTTAAACATTTTTATAAGAATGATGGACTAACAAGCCCAAAAACATCCTTCGGGGCCTTATCTTATCTCATCTTCAACTCCCGTTTAATTAGGCGTGATTTGGATTGGTAATCTATGGTTGGATGTTGAGTTGGGCTGCTTACTTGGGAAACCCTTTGATCTTTCTCCACCGAGAAAGTCTTCAGCATTTTGTTCTGGTAACTTTAATTCAGTGGCTGCAAAGATTGTTTATCTACCATTATTGGCAGTCTGAAAAACACTGCAGTCCTAACTCACGCGTCCACATCTTGCAATATCCATAAATTCAGTAGCTGGGACATGCAAATTTGCGTTCTTGCACACTCAGTGCAATTATATGTTTTGCAAATTCAGACAAGGTCTATAATTAGGATAACTTGCGGCCTTAGTCCAAGGACATTAAAGGCGCCTCCTGGGAACAGAGCAGATTTGAACCGCCGCGTGTGTGCGATGAAATATCCTGCCCATCTACTTGATGCTGGCAAGAATTTTCAATTTTGTAGTCTCTAGATATGTGACAAACACTCCTGTACGATGGTCAATCGTACTAAGTTTTACGCTTAAACCAAAAGAACCATTCCAACCGATACTTCTCGGGTGTCTTAACCATAACTGTCGTTTCACAGTGCCTTCAGGATTTTTATTCATCGACAAAGATTATCATTTCTTTATAATGTCAAAACGTCAGTTCGATGATAAATGCACATCAGCGGCCTGAACATATGGTTACTCGTAACATTATCTCCACATTATCTGTTTTGTAGCGTTCTTGTTTTGCTGTCAGTTTCTCCGTCACGTCTCTCGTAGATTCGATGTAAGAGTAGGAGGATAAGAAACAGAAAGCCGATAATACTGAGCGGCTTACTATTGAGGAGAGTGTCACAGCTCGGGTAGCGTGGATGGGCGTTTGTTTCTCGCTGAGCTGGGCAATCCGAGTGCAGATGCTTCGACAGTATATTGTTAGCGAGCATAACTAAACGTGCCGATGAGTCGGTAGTTATGCTTCCAATGGGTTTGATGTCTGTCAATAAGCGTGCTGCTATGAAGGAGAGTGATGGTTCGATGTCATAATATTGCTGCTCACTTCATTCAACCACAAAAGTCCCTCCAGGAAACCAATAAAAAACTGCTTCGGAATAAGCCAAACACGGAAGGAATCATGAAACCCGAAAGTCTGCGCAGAATGTTAGACTTTTGCATGGATACATACTTTAACTTTAATGGACAATCATATCACTAACTGGAAAAGGCTCTAATACAATATCTCCAATATCAGGATTGATCACTGAGGCACTAGTGCAGAGATCAGAGCACGCGGTACTAGTCCAAACATATGCATCCACTAAGGAGATTATACGCGAAGATTCATAACGAAATAAGCAAAAAATGTCGAAGATTATTTTTGAAGAGATCAAATTTATTATCGAACTAGAAAGAAACAACTGACTACCACTCTTGGACGTTCTGATTTCGAGAAATGTGAATGGGAAGCTTGAATCTCGCGTATATCATCAAGAGACAGACACTACAATAGCAACCAGCCAATGAAACACAAGATGAATGGAATTCATACTCTTTTCGAGAGGGCAGAGATACACTGAAGCACCGTGGAAGTAGGGGTAAGGGATAAGTTCATTTGTTCCGAGTATTCAAGGACAATGTATATCAGAGTGTGCTTATCACAATGAGCCAAAAGCAGAGCATACCAAAACAGCAGCACGGGAACAACGAGCGACCAGAGAGATAGTTATACCTCACAACAAAAATATTTCCCAACTGAGATCAACGAGGGATCGTCGTAGCTCACAAACCAAACACGGAAACTAGTATACCTACATATCCAAACATCAAGAGCAGGAGAATAATAAATTCAATCCGAAAAAATAAAAACGGGAGGATATTTATGGAAACACGATACTTCACGACAGATTCGACCAATCGACCCTCCGAACTAGATCTGGTTTACACATTACTACTTTCAAGGGACAAATATCTCAAACCAAATACTGAAACAGTGTTGATGTAGATGGATATTTTTCGTTTGTCTGAGTTAGCATTCCTCCAAAAAACGTTTCAAAATCACACAGATCAAACTGTCAATGGATTGCATAATAATTTTCGTTGACATTGCGGGTATACATTGCTTGCCAAGTGGTTGATTGCGCTGGTTCATTAGCATTTTGGAATTTATGTGGGAACTGGGATAAACTTGCCTATCATCTCTTCAGGTTGTTGATAATAAAGCGCAATTAAAGCCACATGCCCTTAGGATTAGGATGGTGAACTGCTAAAATTCAAAAATACTATTGATTTCCACGGGGAGCAATGCTTTTGCTGTAAAAAGCTTTGGACAACGGAGCACATCATCGGTTTTTTGTGGGCTAAACACGCGCATGGTTTATACTAGAGGCTTGCTGATGGCCTGGTGCTGATAACGTCAAGAAGGTAGACAGTGACGTTCGATACACGCTGGGAAGAAAATTTTTCTATCTTGTAAGCTTCAGAAAAATGTGCTCTACATTTCTTGTTGGCTTATTGTTGTCCATATTGTAACACTGACCTCAGCTGAAATACCGCCTATTCTGAATATTTCGCGAGATACACTGATGCCGTTCAATGATTACGGTGATGAAAAAAGTTGATCTGAAAAAAGATCTCTTCTTACATCTGTACCGAACACTACCGTTTTATTCAAACCACTTTAAAACTGAATTTTTCTATCCTTTGGATTTCTCCTTACTGCAAAGCTCTCAGCAAGTATAACAGACTGCAAACAGAATGGTAGTAGTATTTCACGTACGATGCCCCTAACGTGGATGAGACAATAAATGCCCTAACTTACCTTACATACTTTGTTGCTTACAGACCAAGGCAAGACTGATGGCTTCGGATTTAGTTTTGTTTCATTGGGGCTGTAACCAAAGCAGTGCTTAGAAGGGTGTAAGCGGTAATTGACTGAATGCTAGCGAAGATAAAAATCACAGTTAGAGCATCCTAATAAGATTGAAGCGGTCCTCAGGAGAGAATAGATTATTCAACCGGCAGTACACAAAACAAACGAATGAAATTATGTCCATGCGTACTCCCCAGATTTGCCTCAGGCAGGTTTGTTTTTTATACCAACCATTGTTATCTTGGTGCCCATTGAACACTAAATAAGGCAACAAAATCCTTCTTATTGATCGGAGAACTGAAATCAGATTGAGTATGAATGATAACGCTGGTCTAACCGCTGGACTATTGCTGCTTCGTTCGTTTTTCTGAGTAAATTCTGTCCCTTAAAAAGGTTTGAAATGACCCAAAAAAGAACCGTGGAAACCACTTTTGAAAAAATCAATAATTAATCAAGTTAAGATTTTTCAGCTGCGTGTGCCTATTATATGTGAATGGGGCTTTGTAGTTTCGCGTACATTGCCCCATCACAAATTATTTTCGTCCTTATTATTAGTGCAAATAGTAAGCGACCATTCGCCCGAAGCTCAAACGTTTTTTCAGTGTGGAAGCGTTCTTGAGTGTTACAGGGTAGAATCTTGCCAACTCATTCAAAGATGCACCAAATGTGTCTAAGGGATTTTCTTTGGTAGTCGGATTGTAAACCACTGTATTTCCATATCATTTACCTTTATATCGCATTGCCGCCAAAAGCAACACATACGCTGTTTTAACCTTTGTCTTAGACTGTGATGTAATCTAAAATAAATTACTTTTTTGGAGCAAACGAGAAGTTAATCCTGAGCCCACACACAAGTGAGCGTTTTATAAATCTATAGGTTTCGCTGTCTTGCTAAGACTTTGCCAAACGTCACTAAAATACTATGAATTATAGTGTAATGCGCCAAAAGCCATAAATTAACAACAAAACTATGAACAAAAAATTGGACGCACCACAAGGACATCACACAGGCTCTTAACTTCTTTTAAATTATGGAAACGTAACGGAAAATTCAAATCAAATCCTGAAATGTTCGTGCTTCTAGATAAACAGTCAAAAACATCGTCACAAATGGTAGAGAAAGAAAGAATATGAATTAGCTATCTGTGACTGGTTTTACTTCGGTGATTACTATCGGGACGTGAAAGCTTCTTAACAAAAATGGTCTCTATTCGTGAGTGGGTTTTCATGACTGACAAATACCACCATCCACATTTAAATTTGTGTATATTATTTTGAACATTTTGTTGTATCTTGCACATCGTGCTGATATGTATCGTGATTCAAGAAGTTTGAAAATTACAGGAAGAAGCCGTTGAACCATAGCAGGAACCACACTCTTGAGCATCGTCCAGCCTTCCAATATATAACTTTTTCACGTAGTGGAACGTGTTATCATCCTTAACGTTTTCTAATCCACTGTTACCGCACTTCACACACTCGTAGATAACCATCGATGGTGTTGATATCCGGGATCTCGATTTGGATCACTATCTAGAACAAATTGCCTGTGTCCAACAACAACCGGTGCTGTTTGAAGACACAATAGCAGAAAATATTCGTATGGGTCAACTGAGTGCTACTCAGAAAATGATTGAGGAAGCCGCAAAACAGGCCAACGCTCATGAATTCATTTCAAACTTGCCAGAGGTGTGTATGGGTAAATTCAGTAGTAGATTTTTGTACTAGAGTTCAAAGTGCTCCTATAATTTTAGGAATAGGTCCACGTAATCACATTGCTGATTCAAACGTCCTTTGATTTCATAAAAGGTCATATCCTAGCTGTTTTTCTGGCTCTGAACATCGCTAGGTAATTTTCCATAAGTATAACGAAGCCGCACAGTCTGAAAGACCAACAACCGAACACTTTAGACAGTGCGCCAATGTCTACTGGCTGATACGTCCAGGCTTCTGTTTGAAGTCACCTATTTCGCTTCAGTCAGCAAGAAAGTAAGATCAGTAGATGAATACAGAATCAAGCATCATACTCATTTGCTGAAAAAGCACATCTAAGGTTGACTCACTACCTTGTAAATGACAGTGGAACATGCCACCTCCGCATTCCGGGACGACATCAAGGATCAGTCATCTAAGTGCTGTGTGTGAACTAACGTTAGTTAACGGCCGTTAGTTGTGCTCAGAAGTATGACTAAGTCCAATATGGTCATTTTTTTGTTAACAGCTATGTTCGGTAACTACATTTTTGACTCATCTTTTCGGCAAACCTTCAGCTGCTTCTACATATGAAGTACACCGTTTTTTTCTCGGTTTATTTCGCAGGACATGGCAAGTTACTTTTCGATGGTAAATGTCGAAATGTGAATGACTTGAAGACCAGCATTCCGTCCCAGAACATTGGAGCAGAGGATCTTAGGAGGCTGCCACAAATTGACTCTCACAGCCCATTAGAAGACAGTATAACAGGTGTACCAACTAATGGGCATAGTACGCAGCATAAGTAAAAAATGAGACTGAGAGAAACTAATCTCTTTCAGAAGGACGAAATCACAAAGCGAAATAAGCCGTAAACCATTCGGACACAGGGATATCCCTCACGCATCACAAGGACTGTTTTGGTGGAACCTGGACGGAAAACTTCAAGGGACCTTCCTTATAGATCATTTGCACTCACATTAATAACCTGAGATGGTGTTATCACTATCCAGAAGACCTAAAAGATAGACAGAAAGCGTAAATGTGCAACGACGTTTTCTTTGAAACAAACCATCCGTTATGAAGGATACTGTTAGCACGGTACCGTGCGTTTTCATGTGTCATAAAAAACCTACCACGTGGTATCGACCATCAGTTCTCCGGAATGGTCTGTCTGATCTCCTCCGGAAGCAATACTGAGGGTCATTTAATTGGTCGGTAGGTGCAAATGACTTCGAGGTATTTGGAATAGCTTGCTTCACGGTTCGTGTGCAGCACAGTTTACCGTTGAATAAGGGGGTTTCTGTCACCCAGTTCCAGATCGTTTTACCCAGTTCCACCGTTCAATATGGGATTTCCCCATGTTTTCTCCAAAAGAAGTAGGGTTTTTGAGGAACTGAATTTAGACAGCCGGAACCTGGACTCATTTTAAGGTAGAATCGTTTGTATATGTCAACCTCAATGGAATCAACAAGAGCAGTAAATCTGATCATGCCAGTCTTTGGCCAGCTAGGATCCTGGCAACCTGGATGACACACCGGCAAACTTTTATCCAATGAAGAATCTGATCCATCCGCACCGTGCTGATTATTAAAGGTTCTTTAATTTTTGGTATTTCGGCTGTTAGTTTGACGGCTTTCTTCGGCGTCTAGATTGTTAAAATAACCGTAATTTTCTTCTAACTAGAGGTAACGAGTCGTTTTGCACTGGTGTCTAAAATGGTACCAACAAGACTTTCAACAGAGTCTGCTTGACCGTGCTTACTTAACTCCCCACGTACTCATTTGACTGCTGCCAAAATGGGGCAAACCTGTTAGTTCTACGCCCCAAGATAAACAAGATACCGCTAAAGGGACCTGTTTTATCCTCTAATCGGCAGCCCTACGCAATTTAGGAACCTCCCGGGGTTTTCGAATCCGCGGCCTTCCGGATAGCAGTTGGAATGCTTAACTCTTAGGTTATAAGCAGCTTACTATTAGTGTGATTCCTTCTGAACTAGACAGTATTTGGAGACAGTTACATTCCAGTCACGTCGTTCTCCATTTAAAATTCCCAGATCTATCAAAAAATAAGTTACATGATGGGTAAACCTTTCATCCGAGAAAGTTTACACGAACAGCCAGTCAGCACGTGACTAGATCACGTGGATTCCGTAAGTAAAGGAGGGGCGACATTATGCACCAAAGTAGGAGTTAGTCGCACTGTTAATCATGACTGAATAAGTGTTCAAAAACTGACTTGAAGGTCGCAGTTCTTTACTTTGATTTTCGTGAGGCGTTCACTGCGATAATGTCTCGATAGAGATGAGATAACCACTAACTACAACAACCACCAACCCACCGCTACGCACCACCACGCTCCCCAGTAACGCACTGATGATGCTACCTTGATTGGTGATGAAACGTTTGCAATCAAATTGCCAAGCTCAGCGACCATGAGACGACCACATGTTATTCCTTGGTCTTCAGGGTGGAGTGGTTTCACTAACAGAATGAAATCCCGTGTAAAAGTTGCGTTTGTTCAGGTAACGTTCTCTTCCCATCTCTTCGAAATTTCATGGATGTACGTGGATAAGCGACATTTTTTCTGCTGGTATCAGTGGTAAAGTAGCCACTGAGAGTACCAGTGAACATGGATTCAGTTTATTTTTATACTTCCTCAAAGCAGCATTTTTGTGCCCAGCTTCATTTATGCTTAGCGCATTTTCCTTCAACAGCACGCAAGAAGATCCTGTTGATTAGAGATCTTCAACAAAGCTGATCTAAATGTTTAGCTTAACCATATAAGCAAGATGGGACCACACACGTCTTGTGCTCCTCCGCATATTTGGAAGCGAATTTTTGGATAGTCTGCGCATCCAATGTACATTCAGATTACATGATTAATACCCGATGGAAACTGGCTAGAAAGCCAAAACGCAGACGACGTGTGGAGTAATCCAAAAGAAACATTGCATGGCACGTATCCGCTGGTCCAGTTTTTTTGTTGGGTATTAATTAAAAATTGAAATCATTTGGAGTCTTAGCAAATACCAGTTAGCAGCTTTTCTGGTTGGACCGTAGGCTATGTTTGGGAAACGAGCAGAAACTGGCTGGCTGTACCGGTGCCATTTGATCACTTCAACATCTCTGTTTACAGGGCTACCAGACGGTCGTCGGGCAACAGGGCGAGGCTCTTTCAGGTGGACAAAAACAACGACTGGCTATTGCACGCGCCCTCATCCGAAATCCGAAGTTGCTGTTGTTGGACGAGCCCACCTCATCATTAGATACTATCTCGGAGAGGGATGTTCAAAGAGCTCTGGAAAGTGCTGTTTCCGGACGGACAGTATTGATTGTTGCACATAGGCTGTCCACAATTCGTCGAGCTGATTTGATTGTCGTAATGGAGAACGGCGTTATTTGTGAAACTGGAACTCATGACGAACTGCTGGCAAAAGAGGGGCTTTATGCAGCAATGTTTCGTGAAGCCGTATGTTTCCATGTCGATATATGCTATTAATTGCTTAGTCTTTGCATGTTTTGACGAGGAAACGTATTAAACTACTTCGTTAATTAAGTAAAAGAGGCGTGTAAGTTGTTCGGGACACAAATTACAAAAGATACTGTGAAAAATGAACTATGTCGCATTCTTCCAACTGACCGGAAATCACTTTTGTGTACTTTGTTTCCTACAATTTTGCGTAGATCTCACTGATAACTGTTGTCTTTGATTTAGGTCGGTTCGACTGGAGACGAATCATCTCTTGGATTCGACCAGATTAGCCATGAAGGAGTTTGGAAGCACAAACAGGACGCAGACGTGAGTAGCTGCTTCAAAACGTTTACTTACATAAACATAGCATAGCTTTCTGTCGAGCAGCGGAAATCTCCCTGTTAATATACTATTTACAAAACTCCAGTAATCGGGAATTTCCTACGCAGTAACCAACATGGAGAAAAACCCATTGGTGAAACAGGTGCCTGAAAATCGCCTTTTATTCTGCACTCTCATTATAGTGCGCATTGTGTGAATATTGTTTATTCACATTTAAAGAATTCTGTGCAAGCGCCCGACAGGTTAACTTAATGTGTCCAAAGAGGTACAAGCACTTCGTTTGGATAAGGTTGAGAACATGAAAAAAGGTATAACTCAAACAGAGAAATATCAGGGGAAGCACAATGTGCATAGAAGTTTTACTGTTGCATTCAAGTCCAATGAACGCCTATTCGTTTCCTCAAATAGCTAACGTAATTTATCTACGTTGGCTTAACTTAGCCCAATTACTTGCGGGAACAATGCACTTGAAGTCATCCAAGGTCCAAATGAACCCAAATGAAAACGATTCTTCCGAATGATCTTTGAATAATTGTGTCCCTCATTAACTGGATATATCTTCTTTTAACAGGCTACTTCAGTGTCCTGGAATGAAGGACACAGCCAGGAGAAATCGACTAGCTCAGTGTCCGTTATTTTAAGCGTAAGTCAATATAGAGATTGGTGCTCTGTATAGAATATTTTCTGCTCGCTTGCCTTACATCCCATACAAGCTAAAGTAGCAATCAAATTTTGATGCACTGAGAACATTCATTTCATTTTCATGAAGTTGGATTTTTCTCCTTGTAAACTTGATTTCGCCGATCCGTAAACTGAAGACCACTTCACCTGGACAGCATGATTAGAAATTTGCTATATGCTGTCTAAATTAGCTAACTATATCATCGGTCAAGCGTTCAATTTTAGGTAACCAACCAGATGATTACGAGCTAATAGCGCTCTTGAGATTCGTGAGATGTACACACTCTTAAGAAGGGAACAGTCTCAAGTGCTTATCGGCAATCAAATATAGACCTATTTCACTTGCAGGATGGAATCTTATTTAGCAAAGGAAATTTCATGTCCCCGCGAAAAAAAGGGTAGATGAGAAAGTCATCACCCCTGAGGTGAAGCCTATCTTGATTGAAGTTTTGAATGCATCAGCCAGTTAAGAAAACGGATGCCTGTTTGTATGATGCCATACTAACATGGTCAAAGGTCTGGTCCAAACTTTTAAGGCTGTATAAAACCTCTTTCTTGCGCCATACCTTCATGCCTTCATTGTTTCCTCGGAATCTCTCATATGAGTAGTGCCTGTCAGCTAGAGGAAAAGACATGGATAAATTCCATCGTCAATTAAGGAACGGAAACACAATTTTTTGCACCATGCCTTCATTGTTTCCTCGGAATCTCTCACATGAGTAGTGCCTGTCAGCTACAGGAAAAGACGGATAAATTCCATCGTCGATTAAAGAACGGAAACACAATTTTTTGCACTTTACACGTTATTGACAGACGGCGGCGTTCGTAGACAATGGCATCAATTCTGGTGACGTTTTTCCCAATCGCTCAATGAGTTAATTTATGATTTTTCGTTTCATGTCGGATTTTCGCTCACATTTCATAAGTTAGATATCGGCTTCACCGTTGATAATAAAATTGCAAAATGTGAGCTTCATAAGAGCTGTGAAAGCTGTGCTGTTTCATGTACGCACTAGTCCAAACGTTGTTGACCGGCAAATCCAAACCGGTTTCAAATCAACCATTACATCTTAGAAGAAAGCGTTATTTCGTACAAGACGTGATTTGAGGTAATATCGCATAGTGACGAATCGAATGGAGTGAAAAAGCGGCTTGTCGTATCACGCCTGATGGGTCGTGAAAATTGCCGACATTACAGATGACAGGGATATCTGCTGGATAATTCTAAACAACTAACTTCAGCTACTGATGAATTTATAAGTAATCCTCTAATTGAAACAGCTGGTTGCATCCTATCCACGTTACACCACCTAAGTGTAACAAATATTTGGTAGGGTCGAGCCTTCTGAGACTGGTAACAGCGTACTGCGTAAATGCCATCTAAGAGAATACTTCGTCTGCTTTCTTCGCTGTAGACTGATATTCTAGTGGAAGCATATAAGTTATAAGAATAGGTCAGCCGACTGACAGACCCACAAAGCCCAGAGTCACATGAACTACAAGAATAAACCATAGTTAGTTTCTAAAAGCTCTCTTTCCTTATGGCGCCAAATCTGCACTAACTGAAACGAGACAGAGTGATTGGTTAGGGAAACCGACACCCACTAGTTACAAAGACAGTGGCGCTGTCATGAGCACATCATTTATGCCCATTCAGGTATGAGTAGCCGCGTCCCAAAAACTGATCACATATCAACCTCGGAATCCCTGAAGATCACTTGCATGTCCTTCCTAGATGGTATTTTAACCGAAATCATATGATTCCGCAATTTCATAAGAGTGATTCTGGTGCTGCTTGACGAAGGTGCGCTTTATCTTTGGATTCTTAGCACAGGTACCAGTCATATTATACGCGATTTGCGTAAATTTCCACTGAGAACGCAGCGTTCACATAACCAGCAAGCTTACCGTTGCTTTGATCGATTCTTAGCACAGGTACCAGTCATATTATTTGCGATTTGCAAGTCCAGCTTGATGAAATTCCACTGAGTCTCCCACCCAAACCAAAATTTACATTCCCGCGTAGTCTTATAACAATTCTCACTGCAACTCGGAAATGAAAAAACTTTTGGGAATTTTCCACGGCGGTGGCTAACAAGAATAGCGCCGAAATTTTTTTCAATAAAGCCATGCGCATCGCGTGGATTCTGTCAGTATACGTTGAACGGTCCAAAAGTCCTAAAAGCCAGTCAGATCATCGCTATCAAATTAATCATTTTGGTATTTTTGTACACTACTAAACTAAACTAAAGAATCCAAACGTGCGTGCAACGTGGCAGCCATGATGTTTTAAGTACAGTTCTACCTCCCCGGAACGACTGGCTAGATTCGACAGAAGAAATTGAAACACAAACCACCTTTACTATACACATACAAATTTGGCAAGCGATTCGAAATTACCACAAATAGTTAAGTCCATGAATCCAGAAAGAATGAGCACTCTTTGAGATAGTTCAACCAATATATAATTGCTGGACTTTCTTATCAAATAGGTCTTTCAAAAGATGCACAATAATGCGTAGGATTTGAAGGAAAGTAGGAGCGAGGAAACGGAGAGGGAAATACGAATAAGCAATGCGCCTAGTGTATTCCTCTCCATATATCATGTTCGTCAAAAAAATCCATTATCGGCCGTCTTTGTTTTTCTGTATCTTCTACATTGTTAAGAAAAGCCTAACGAAACACTTAATTACTTTGACAGAAAACTGAAGTCCAGTCTATGTGAAGGTAATATCTCCATGTATTATTCAGCCCATGCTGTTAAAGTACAACCACTGAAAATTCGCAGAATATTCTTGCGCCGGAATCCACTTATCTTTATATTTTCACCGACACAGTTGGGTTTCAAATCGGATGAACTCATAAACTTTATAGAAGCATCCTGTAAGGAATTCTCCTAGGGAAGCCAAACACAAAAAAGGCTTAGACCACAAAAAACGTCATAGATGATGGCGAGGATTTGCTTGAACGCGTGAATGCTGCTTCGACACTTCAGTAACAAGATTCTCGATCTGTAGAATTTTCGCCTTAATTATGAAAATTTATCATCACATATTCGTTCAATCCCTTCTTGCCACAGCTCCTAAGGCGGAACAAGTGGGTGCTCTTCCGAATGCTTCGACTCAACCTACCAGAAGTGTGGCAGACTGTCTCTGGGTGTCTATTTTGTATGGCAGCGGGGGCCGTGCAGCCTGCCTTTGCTGTTGTCTATTCGGAAATCTTTGGAGTGAGTGTGTTCAACTGTTCCTGTTTTAAAAAGCAACTCTGTCATGTACTACCCATAAGGTTGCTGAAAATCCGTCGACAGCCCACGACGGTTTCGCCCTTTTCCTTTGCTGTTGTCTATTCGGAAATCTTTGGAGTGAGTGTGTTCAACTGTTCCTGTTTTAAAAAGCAACTCTGTCATGTACTACCCATAAGGTTGCTGAAAATCCGTCGACAGCCCACGACCGGTTTCGCCCTTTTTGGGGCTCATCAGGAAGGCGCAGTCCCCGGATTTCTGTCAACCTTATGTTCTACTTGAAACCAAGTTACACAAAATTAGCGAATATACACTCATTTGCACACCAATTTGGTTTTTTCGAGAGACTCACCTGGAACCCAGCTGAATCTCTCGTTTGTGATGTCATGTTGTTGACATTTGTAGGGCTGGAAAATGGCCACTCTTATGAATATAAACCATTTACAAATTCCATTTGTCTCAACTTGACCATTATGTAGCACGACCATTTGACAAAATAGGATATGAGGGCACATTATCTAGGTTCTTCAGGGAGCATAAAGGTTCGCGCTTGGGTCCTGGCGGTAAGAGTTCCTACTACTTACTCACTTACTACCTACTTATTGATTATAAATTTTATTCGTCCGTCCTTCATAGTAAAACGACACAAGTCAAACCTGTCACAGTTTCTATAAAATGTACTGCGGACTGTCCCAAAACAACGGAAAATTGTTGTAGACTGTTTCGGTTTGAATTTTTAATACGGAAGAAAACTTACATACTGTTTTGGTCACAGGCGACCACAGCTGACAAATCGTCTTATCGGATGAGCTTTTCTATAACATGGAAGTGTGAATTAGCATGAAACGTGCTGTTTCAATTTTCAGCGAGACTTGTGCGAAAGTCAAAAATTATTATTACGAGCCTTCTCCTAATCTAAAAACGTTTGGGTTAACGAATCTATTTACTAGATCCACATCCACTAGCTGACTATTTGTGAATTTGCATAATGAGTTTGCATGTGATGAGTGTGAATTTCTGGCTGAAGCAGCACGGTTCGCTCTGTGCTTCAACTTGGAGACTGTGACCAACAAAGCTGAGGTTAGAGATTAATGTGTGCTCGGAACGAAGTAAGTGGGACCATATTTGACGGTAGTACACCACAAATATATTATCTTGTTTTAACACCTTACCACACTGTCACGAAAAACGCCACTGGATTGAGTTTTTTCATTCCTCCATTTCGCTTTCTCCCAAATTTAAATGTCATAAGTGTTTGCCGAAATTCATTCGAGCTGCCACACAGTGAGCAGCCGACAAGGCAGCGTTGACTGGAGTGAATCTAACAGAAAATCATCACGTAGTCGCACTTATGCGAACAATCTTCCATAGAATTTTACCAACGCGAAACAATCGCAAACGGCACAAAAAAGTGAACTTCAACAGCTGTTTGTCATTCATCCTAACGTTCATAGCGTGGCATTAACCAGCTTTATAGATGTTCTTTTCGGTTGATCCAGGAAGCACTAATTAGGGACAAAGAGCGACTGACAGTGAAGATAAACACAGCGTACATGAACTACTTACACCGTTTTCTCTTCTTTGTAGCTCATAAAACCTAATTATGATGATTTCATTGTTCAAAAATGCATAACTCTTCAATTTCAGGTTTTTCTGGGAAATAAAAACACAGCCATCGTGATTAGAAAAGTAAACACTATGGCCTGGAAAATGACGCTAATTGGTTTAGTACGGTTTATTGCAATGCTTGCTCAGGTGAGTTTTAGTAGTCCAATATGATGGCTACCCAAAGTGCTACATGCCATTATCTTTCAGAACTTCTTATTTCAGAGCAGAGAATGTTGGGTTTAGCATGAGCTCGCAGGATATCTCATCTATATCGCCTCTTATGGCGTTTTTGCTGTGCGCTGGACCGAACCGAAATTTCGAAGATGGGAAAAACTTATGAGTAAAATGGGAGTTGGCATATGGTTACGTTAGACTGCTTGAAACAAGCATCCAAGTAATCAACGCAATAATCACAACAAGCAAATCTTGTTTGAAGAGATGTTAATTAGCAGATGCTGTGCAAAACCGGTCTAAATGATGCCTGACTAGTAACCTTAAAGCATAATGGTGGGCAAAATAAGAGAATACATTCAACTCATAGTAAGATAAACTTGAAATCGAATGATTCTGAGTAATCTGTGTGTTTGCCTTCTGTATGTACCTAGTCTAATTCGTGTGATAGGCTTCACTCTTTCTGCTAAAATGCAAAATGAGAGAAGAACATTAGCAGATGCTGTGCAAAACCGGTCTAAATGATGCCTGACTAGTAACCTTAAAGCATAATGGTGGGCAAAATAAGAGAATACATTCAACTCATAGTAAGATAAACTTGAAATCGAATGATTCTGAGTAATCTGTGTGTTTGCCTTCTGTATGTACCTAGTCTAATTCGTGTGATAGGCTTCACTCTTTCTGCTAAAATGCAAAATGCAGAGAAGAACACGATTCCTAGAAATCTTCTTTAGCTTTGGAAATTGCCTCGACTGTGAAATTCGCATCATTCTCCATGACACATTCGATTCACAGTGAACAAGTTCTCTGGTTAACGGAACAGAGCGCGAAATGGTATTTCGCATGGTAACGACGCGCCTGTATGGATTGTAAAGTAGAAATAAATTGCTAAACCAATGATACAAATGAATACTCAGGATCACATGGCGAAAAGCTCCCCTGAATTAACACCGTAAGGCGCAGCATTTTTCGTGATTACCAACCAATAGAATCAACTGATCAAAAAGCCTATAGTTGCTGAATGTCAACCACGGCTGGCGGCACATACAGTGACCCAGGCGCCACTATTCCAAGCACAAATTTTGGCGAAAGGCCAAGCTTCACCCAGATTAGTAGCAACCCACTGGTGGTGTCCAGCTCAGCAAACAGGCAAACTATTGCAATCATCCGTCACCCTATCACTTTTGGGCGGTGAAAAAAGCCCACTTGTTAATTTTTTCTGAGAAGTGACAAGCGAGACCTCAGTTAGTGCACTTTCTTATGGTTGTTTATTAAGTACAAATCGTACGGTACCTGTCGGATTCGCGTGCACCCATACCATTGTCATATATATACATAGGCATATACGCAAGTATGTGTGAACACAAGCCATCCTGAAACTGTCACTTTGTCATAGTGGTCCGGATTATACGGTGCGACGACACTGAGGAAGGCAGTGATTAGAATCTTTGTTCTGTTGGGTTCATCCATTTCAATAAGACCGAAAATGAGCGGACAGGCAAAATGTAACAAGCTCAAGAGAATTGATTAATCCGCTTACCAAAGGTTGGGTGGAGAATTTCAGCTGTAACTTGGGAAAGCATTTCTTCCATATAAAACACCGTTCCTTTGTTATGGAACTTGGTAATGAATTATTCATTCGAGGAATGACCGCCTAACTTGGCAAGCTGCGATTTCCGAATGGTTGACTTTTAACATCAGCATACCAACCAGTATTGCTGAAACACTTTTGAAAGCCAAAAACTAGTTGCATCTCGAAACGTCAAGTGTCTAATCCTCGGATTGCTCTAACCCCCGAAGCCAGCTGGATTCAAACTTAGAGTAAATTATATCACCTCTAGAAAATCCCGTTATCTCGTCACTACTTAAGTAAAATTTCGTCAGACTCGAATCTGGGATAGTACTGGGTGCCAGATATGTAGCATTGAAAGTATAGTGTACAGCGGGGCAGGATGCACTTTCTTCTGGTCAGCAGTGTGAAAAACGGCGTCAAGAGCACGCGAATGGATATGTAGCCTCAGGTAAAGCCGTATGAAAGCCCGAAAGCGACCCCTGAACCAACTTACTCGTCAAGCCAAGGGTGGTCCACCGACTTGAAATATATCCCAATACCCGCGTCCGCAAGTGCAAAACAGATCTCTCTCGGTCCAGTCTCAATATGACATACAGTATCCGTCCCTGGAGTTGGAATATCAACCTGGCCTCTAACCTCTGTTCATGGGTAGCAGCACATTTGTGTGTGTTGTTGTATACGCACTTGATACTTCGATCGATCCAAACTTGTTTCATTCTTTGGAAAACAAGCATTCGGAGAAGTTGCGTGTCGCAATGGAAGAAGTGACATGCCACTTGAGTTTTCAATCATCTGACTTCATGTATTTACCTTGTAGTCCAATGCGAGTTCCTAAAATCAAACAAAAATCTAAATGTGAGAGAGTGTATAAGCAAAACCGTAGACAAGTCATTATTCTCTTGTAAATCCTAAATAGTTTTTGTCTATTTATTTTTTATCGGTAAAACGGATCTGTCAAAAATACAAAGCTTGGAGTGCAAAACCGCACCTCATTCATCTGGGGGGCTGGGACGGCTATTTGAAGGAAAATGGCGTCAAGTTTGAGGCCCCAGCTGGCCCAGAATGCAGCTCAATTTTTTCTGATTCTGTTCCATTCAGTGCGATCCAGATATATTCCAAGTCTTTTCACAATTCGTATGGCTTGACTGAAGAAACTGAGCTTCACATAGGTGCACTTTGGTCACCCAAATATCCTAACTGTCTAAATGCCAAGACCAATGAAAGGATAGGAAAAAGATATGGTCATCGTATTTCCAAAAGCATCTATCTAGGCAGAAGTGCTCTATAATAGTGATTTTAATTTGGCGTGGTAATGCAACACAGATGGGTGTCAACGCATTCACAAAGGCTACTCCGCGACTGTCCATAAGGACCCCAGAGTAGGCTACACTAACCGATTAAACAGTGCACGTTTTTTGAAAACCCGGTCAAAATGACATCCATATCAAAGATTTTTTGGCAATGCTTTTTGAAACCAAACTAAATTTCACTGGAATGAAATTTAAATGACGAATCACCAACAAGACCATGGGTTGAATTTCTCTCCTCACCCCTTCAGTGTCGATACTGATCGCATATAATGAAGTTCACTGAAGCAACCATTAACACTCCCACATATTCTACACAAAAGCTTTCTGATATGTAATTATGTATGCTCTCAGATAATGCATCCGTAGTCAGCAAGCTAGGATACGGATTAAGAAGGATCCCAGAAGTGTGAATTAGGACGAAGAGTCATCGGAGATGTCCACATCTGTTTACATCATACTATTGATTATTCAGTCTAAATAATAATGTGTGAGGATAGACCAAGTTTTGTAGTGCAAATTCGGTTACCCATTTGAAACAGCAGGTACTCAGTCCAGGTTTGCTTAAGGCTGTAAATCAGAACTTGTGTATATTCTTTGCAAATAGTATAAAAATGCAGTGGTTTTGGGTTAATTATACTCTCTAAATGATTTCGTTCTCATCTTAGGGCTATTTTCTTGGCGTTGCTGGAGAAAGTCTTGTCAAACGTGTCCGTGTCAAAACGTTCGAGGCCATGATGAACCAGGTGAGTTAATTCGAACACAAGTTTGAACTTAGTTTTATCGCCCTTATCTCGGACCAAAAACTCCACCAGGTAATATTCACTAGTACCTCCAAAACCTCAGCCTAACAAATTGAAACTTCCTGATGGTTTCTATGAATGGATGTGAATATATTTAACATATTTTTCCAAAGGTCTGGTAAATGACGTCAAGTGTCTTGCCGCTTATTTTTCTCTGTTTCAACTCAAACTTCTATTCTTCTGATGTTGCCCCTACTATCCCGACAAACGGCAGCTTTTAACCATGAAGAATTATGTTTGTTTGGCTGCTTTTTGACAGAATAAAGTAGACATTGTACTGATTAACACAGATCGTTCCACTTGGTTAGTCGCAGTCATTCGGGAAAGCAGTTCAAGTTTCTTTAATCGTATCCGTAACTACGACAACCTACCGCCGGAGCTCTTAAGTCATCAAGATTTTCACATTCGCCACTAAGGAAATTCTTTCCCCAACTTCAGGAGAAGATATGAAACCTGTCTTATTCCCGATTAGAAAATAAGCTTACAAGTGTAGCGCACACAAAGAGGTGTTTTCTACAGACAACTGAGAATCTGCTGATGCTTATACCTCTCCAGCTTCGTGTCACATAAACCTGAAAAAAGTAAAATAGATCCGAGGAGGCCTGTTTGCACTGTAGTCTATAAAGAAGCTGGAGTTTCCCATAACATTGGTTCAACTGCACTTGTATCCATAAGGCTTTGTCAGAAGTTGTATACAAACCACGCAATCAAAGTGACTGATACATTATTAAACAAAACACTTGTTTAAATATACGTGTATTCCAAAGGTGACCTAGCTAGTGATTTACCATTAATCGCAGGCGATTGCAGTATCTATAGAACTCACGCTTACACCACTCTTGTTTGAAAAGGCCTCCTTCTGTCCTGGCACATTTTTCTTGTTCGGTCCAGACAAAACAGGTGTAGTAACAGTTCTCCTATATGGCGCAGGCGCCTATAACTTTCTGGAAATACTGACGCGTTCTGGATGCGCCATTGGCAACCGGCATTCGACCAATACTGGGTCATGATTGGCTGTTGGGCACAGGCTTTCGACCAATCAGATCTTGGCTTGATGCCGGACCGGTTAGCCTCCCGAATTCTTGGCCAATCTTGCGTGGGATGGACTGCTCGGCCGTAACAGCACTTGAGTGCGAGCGGTAAAGCGGGATCCGTGTGGGATTCCACCTAACAACAGGAGAGCAATGAACTCGAGTTTTGCTCTGTTAGAGTGAAATCACATTGCTGGAGCCTGGACAACTTTCCCGTTCGAACGTAAAAATTCACAGGAGCTTCGTGTGCGCTTGCGAAGTAGTATGATCACACTCGCCCCACATTACAAATGTACGGCCAAGGGTATGCATTCTGATGAACTCTATCAAGAACGAAATTCGAGTTAAGTGCATCCCTAGTTTGGTAGGAACTCAGCAGAATGATTGTGCCGGAACAGGACGAAGACCTCTCAAGCGAGCGCTTTGAGCGCGAATAACCAATAGGATTCAAAACATCCTTTGTAAGTACTTGGTTTGCAACTTATCTAACTGTGTCCTTTACAGGCTGTCAGATAAAAGATGAAAAACAGAATACCGCCACAGACCAGCTTGTTCGTATCTAAATAGCTTGTCCTCTGGAGCTAGAAGCTAGTTTAAATACAAGACTACTTTGGAAATCAAGTGTCTAAACTCCCGCAAAACTTCTAGGAGGCAGAGCAGCGTGCCATCTCTTGTTTTGTTTTAGTTCACTTGGTAAACACAGAGCGTTAGCAGCTTTTATACGCACATGTGAAGTATTGGTAAACCTAACGAATTTTGTCAGAATGGTTATTCTGGCTCCTGCAGAAACCTTTAAGCAGCTTGGAGGTTTCATCCAAAAACAATTAGTAGATGGGCCAGAGCTAATGTACAGCCAGTAAGAGGATATATCCATGTGACTCATACCCTGAGTTCGTTTTTTGTGACTCTCCATCAATGAATTCTACTATAAATTAGAATGTTTCCAACCACGTCGATTTTATTATTTTGCCTATATATACCGGAACATAACGAACAGAGTTATTCAACGGGAATCTTTCAAATAATTCAGTAAATATTACTGACCCGTCACCATACTAGCATTTTACAGCAATCGTCTATTTATTCAAATATCATATACCGGATTATACAGAGTATGTTTCCCCCGATTCTACTCAGGAAATGGCTTGGTTCGACCGTCCTGAAAATCAAGTCGGTATGCTCACCACTAAACTCGCTGACGAGGTGGCAAAAGTTAGGAGCGTCTCTGGTCTACAGTTAGGTGCATTCAGTGAAGCTATCGTATTGGCTGTCGCAACGTTGATCGCATCGTTCATCTTCAATTGGCAGCTGACTCTGACGTTTCTTGCATTTTTTCCTATCATTGTAATGACTGGGATTTTCCGCGTAAGTCGGTTATGTATTCAGACTTTTGAGTTTTATATGAATCTAACAGGGCTAAGCCTACCACCTTATTCTGCAGAGCAGCTAATTTTGCCAAAATCGATCTTTGGTTGATAAGGTGGTAAAGCATACTCAAGACACCGGCATGACGTGGTATCTCTCGGAAAGGAACGATTGTATTCAAACTAGTGACAACTCAGCAGATCAGAATCCCCTAGAACAGTAGACATTAAAAATGATAATCTTTCCTAGGAGGGGGAGGAATTCGGGCAAGCGGCAACAACCGTAAGGTAGCTTTGAGTTCTTAGAATATTTCAGCAACAAATTTGCTAAGATTCGAAATCCCCTAGCTCGGGCTAGATTTATCTCTCTGCAGGATAGTTTGAAGCGACGTGGTGCCACTAATGTTTGTCGAGATAAAACACTACACTACATTAAGCCCAGACGATGTCATGTCGATTATTAATCATTAATGGTCATGTGACAAGGATGCCGTTATGTAGTCTGCAGGTCGCCGGGCTCCCTGTGGGGTGAACGCGAAAGGTATATATAGTCACACAAATGGACCAAAAATATTTAAATGGGAGCCAGTAATACTCTGTGCTAGGTGGAGCATCACTCTCAGAAATTTGACAGACCTCGCTTGTCTATCGAATACTTATTTAAACCACCGTCAGATCTTTCAACTGAGAACACACATTACATAAAGTAAAGCTACTGAACTGAAGTACCGTATGGTATCCAAAGGAATACCAAAAATTTCGAAACGACTATCTTTACTTGGTTCTCATGTGCAAAACACGTCTCCATCTCTCACTATAAAGACCAAGTTTCTGCTTCCTAACAAAGCTAATAGGGTGGTCAGATGTCTGTATAAATATTGCCAGTTATAAAAGCCTGTGTAGAACATCACGCTTGAAAGACAATTGGCAAACAGTAACATCTTGAGACAAAAATGACCCTTTTAACCAGATTGCCTGCTCCCCTGGACTAGAGCAGAATATCAGCGTTTCTGTTAAATTGAAGCCGAAAGAACGGAGTCCTGTACGATTCTCTAATTGTAGAATAACTTGCGTTTAAAGCCCCTGTCTGTTTACAAAATTTTGTGTAATTTCAAAATGTCTGCAGAACACATTCCTTATTTCTACTGAATGCCGACCTCGCTTTGAATCGGGTCCCCAATGAAGCAACATCCCTCCTGTGCTCCCAAATGCTAGATGTTACGAAGAAAAATTATCCCACCGGGAAAACTAATTCTCACCTATTAGTATAATGGCGTCGCTTTAGGATGGTTCAGCACCTGAACACAAGTCCTAAAAGTGTTTCGTTTAAATAAAAGAACGCATGAAACAATGGAGTTCTGAATGTTTTTTCCTATGGCATGATCACTACTCACTCAGGTGGTGCGGTCAACTCGAAAAACAGACTGATGTGGCTCCAGACAACGTTGAAAGATTATTTTCCAGTCCACGTAGTATTTGTTGGGTTAGGATCTTTAGTATTACTGTTATTATTATTATGGTATTACATTACTGTACTGTAATGACATTATTCTCGGTGTTCCTTTTGCCTGAGTCGTGTTCAGGTTATTGTTCAGCCCAGAAATAGGGATACTCTATCACAAAGCCCTAATGCAGTGCGCTGTGCATCAGATTCGTTTTGCCTCGGTACTGCAATAAGTCTGTAAAAGAGTGTGCAATTTCGCGTATTTCCTAAGTAAAAAACATCATTTCAGAGGAGAAGGATAGGCATAACGTGCTGGAGGCCCTTGCTTGTCTGATTTAACGTCCACCAAAATAACAGCTGTAATTTTTTTCGGTAGCGGATATATAACCTCATTAAAGCCAGATGACGACAAAGATCGTTTGTTTCGTCATTCTATGGTTACAGGGTTTTAGTTAAGTTGAATAAGTTCAACTGAACCTTAAATTATTGACAAACTTATCTGTGTGGAACTGATTTTTCCAAACATCTTATTAACGCCGCAAGCAACCCCTCCCAGGAATCTGTTTAGTAGTCCAGTGACACACTCCAGTCGTATGTGAATATGTCACCCGAAGCCGTAGACATTTAGCACAAACACTTTAGGCAGCACAAACTAATCAGACAAGAATATTTGTCAGAATAAACCAGCAAGTACTAACCAAACTTCCAAAGTTTCTTTATTTCACTGATTTTTAAAAACTCGTCATCCCATAATACTTGAAACGGTCTAGTGGAGTTAGTCTCACCTGACTGAACACCTTTCATTGCAACACGAGTAATAAAGGACTAACTTACCGTATCTATTACTCATATCTTAACACCCGTTTCGCAATGACGACTGTATTGACGCGCCAACCAGGAGAATTTATTACACTTTTCTTCGTTTGTTTAAGATTCGAAATTTGGCTGGAAGTGCGCGGAACGACCTAGAAACGCAAGAGATTAGCATTGCCAGGGAATCGTTGGAAAACTATCGAACGACTTTCACATTCAACTTGGCGGATTACTTCGAAAATTTATTCAAGAAAAAACAAGACGCCAAACGCAAGTGAGCGACGCGCTTATAATTCACGTCAACATCGGTTTATATTATACATACATATATATATATATATATATGTAGCATATACATATTACAATTCCGCACTTCCAGAAAAAAGAAAATTGTGTAGGCTATTGGATAAAAGCCTTAGAATATCGTAATTAAAATGTGGGCCCAAGCTTTTCAATCCGGAAACATTTCTAACAATTCTGTCACCAAGAGGATCATTCTCATCTGTAAGAGTTGTTCATCTTACGTTGTATTTTACGCCTTTCCCCTACACTCGCACATAATTACTGCAACTTCTGATCGGAATTATCAATTTTTATACTACTTATTTCTGTCTTAGAAATACGATGCTTTCGCAGCTTAGTTGCGTTAGCCACAACCCATGTTAAGCTGTAGGTGTTTCAGTAAGTCAGAATCTTTCAACAGGTAATCACTAACACTTTGCAACCACGGTGTTTCATTTATGATGAGGCGTTACAACGTGCACTAGGTAGGTACTAAGTCATAAGAAGGAAATTAGTGTTCCAGTGTATGAAAAACATCCTAGCAGAGCACAAAACACCGTCTTTCCACATGGCTTTTTTCATATATATATATATATATATATATGCACCAAGTTCTCCTAATCAAAGATTCGTTGTGGTATCAGCCAGTCTTTTGTAGTCCACTTCATTTTTCTTGTCTTTCAGAGAAGTAACTCGTGGATGTGCGCTTTTTGCAATGGTGTACGGTGTGACGCAGTCGATTAGTATGTTCGCTCACGCAGCTATATTCGGGCTTGGTTCGTATATGCTTTCGAACGGAATGGTTGCGACTATCGACGTGTTTAGGTGAGCCTATTGCATATTATATAGCCTCGTTTTACTCACTCGTTTCAACATTATTCGTTCTTATGTCTCGCGGATAAACAAAAAGCTTCAATGAGATGAGTCAGTTACAGTTTCATGGGCAGTTTTATCCATCTTCAGAATAGTTCCGAAGGAAGGCGTCCCTGGAATCTCCTCTCCTTACACAACCACTCATCAGGGCATTGGGATCACCTAATGTGGTCGACGTTATCCAGCATACGAAAGCCCTCTGGTAGTGGGAGTCAAAACACCAATGCACCAAGTTCTCCTAATCAAAGATTCGTTGTGGTATCAGCCAGTCTTTTGTAGTCCACTTCATTTTTCTTGTCTTTCAGAGAAGTAACTCGTGGATGTGCGCTTTTTGCAATGGTGTACGGTGTGACGCAGTCGATTAGTATGTTCGCTCACGCAGCTATATTCGGGCTTGGTTCGTATATGCTTTCGAACGGAATGGTTGCGACTATCGACGTGTTTAGGTGAGCCTAACCTTTATAGTCTGCGGATATTTATGACTGTATGGCCACTCATATCAAATGCGATATAATAATGAACTTCTAACCATTAGATTATCAACTAAGTTTCTTCTCATGCACATATAAGGAAAAAACGAGGCAACGACTCCTGCAAATCAACATAAAACCGGGCCCAAATGGCCTGGGAAAAAGCTGCTTGAAAGGGAATCCCATGAAATGTGATTTGTTGCTGATCCTAGGATGTTTTCTATAAAACATGAGGTCACATTTTAGTCATTCTTTATCTAAAGGTCTGATTCCTTCACGAAACCAAACAGATTTGTATCGGCAGTAAGCCTGATGCGACAGGAGACTCCGATCTACTCGCCAGAGACTATACTGGGCTCTAGAACAGATGACAAGGATGTATTTCTATCTCGTGGTTGCCCTAGAAAAGAGCATATGCTTAGTCACGTGGCCTTCTCTAATATGTTGCACGTTGTGCGGGTCATCTGCTGAGTGTAATTTCAATGAACTCTGGACCACAGAGACGGAAAGTGTCATGTCTATAAAGTTTGACCTGAACAACGCGTGACCCGAAAACTGCCCATTTGCCCTTATACACCATCTTTCCTGGTGCTTTACTGTAAGCACAAGCCATGGGTAATGCGTAACTATCGAATGTTTGCCATGCAGCACTATTAAACTGCTTAAAGTAAGTCGGTTTGTCACTAAGTAATCTTGAGTTTCTGCATTTTTACCTACTTGATCCGCTCACATCACTGTGTTCTGTAATGTTCTTGTCAGGGTTTTCTGTATCATGAATCTCGGAGCTCAATCTCTTGCGAGAACGGCTTCGTTTGGCGGTCTGGCAATCAGAGCCTCCATATCCGCAAGGCTCATTCTTGAAACCATTGACCGCAACTCAGAAATTCCAACAAACAAAGGTCTCACTCCTGAAGTCTCTTTCCAAGGGAAACTTTCGTTCAAACGGATATACTTTCGTTATCCGACGAGGAAGTCTGTTCCTGTGCTACAGGTATTCCCATTTATGTCTGAAAATCTCTGTGCAATTTTTCTCCAGCCTACGCAAACTTGAGATGAAATATGTCGTGAAGAGTAACTCCATGGTACCTATACCAGCGCTTCAGAAAGTGTACTGACTATTCCCTCTACTATGTGTTCAGTGACCTAAAATTCTTGCTCATCGTGCTAATAGATTTCTAGGTGCGAAACGCTGCTGAAGGTTCTTAGTTGTTATCCAACTATGTTTATTTTTAAATTTTAGCCTCCAGGCTTAATACATACAAAAATTTATCTAGACCGCCGTTTAGGAATCTCAAGTAAGGGTAAAGCTTCTCTTACCAAATAGGTCGAACATTGTTAAGCCCAGAGTTTCAGCCAAAGTAGACGATTTTTGGGGTGAGATGTAATACCTTCAAACTTTCGGCCTTCACCTATACACTTCTTAAAGGATTTATGCAACCAAAAGGACTACAAAACAACCTGTATCCATCTGGAGAAAAAATTCATGCAAACTTAACCGACCACACCGCTCATGAGGTTACTTAAACTCTTCGACAACTTTCTATTTGTTTCGTCCTTCCTGGGATTCATCAGATACGTAGTGTCGAGGCCTTCATTACCATGAGTGTAATTTGCACATGAGTTTAGTTAATCAACTTCGCATTCAAGCGAATCATGCGTTTGGTAGACCACACCTATCAGTCAGCCTTAACATGGACGAACCAGGTGTTGGGGTATTGAAGAGTTTTCAGTCCTGTCAAGAAAGCCCCGTTGTACGTCGAATGTTGTGCCATCCGGAAGATTAGACGGTTTCGCTCAGAACATTAAGCTGAAAACTTAGTCAGCGAGAGAATCAGTGTCAACAAAATTGCAAATGAGATTAGTGTTTAATTTGTCAGTGGGGTTCAGTGCTGAATAGTCCTGGTGGGCAGCAATAAGCATTATGTCTGTGGTATGTTCATAGGGATGTATTCAAGTTGGGCCAACTCTGAATGCACCGCTGTGAGTGTGAGCCAGGTCGCTCGTCCTTGAGTCTTATTTACCTCTTCATCTTTGACACGGCACACACTACGCTCCACAATAACGCACTGATGATGTCACCTCGATTGGTGATGAAACGTTTGCAATCAAATTGCCCAGCTCAGCGAACAAGCCAACGACCACCATCTTATTTACCTCTTCATCTTTGACAGTGGCACAAACTTTGTTCAAGTTTTCGAGTGCACAGATTACCCTACCCAATTTCTCAGCTAAATGTCTATATAAGCAGTGGTTGATAGGTCATTGTGCACCCAGGTGGGGTAAATAGATCTCGTGCTACGATTAAATCCTGATAAAATTTGCCCATACAAACCCACTTTCACATATTCATACTCCTAAGTTGGTCTCCCCCGATGCAGTTGACACAGGTGCGGACATGCATCTCTCTCCCCAAATTGATTAAAAACCGCCACCTGCCGGTTAGCATTTGGAGTGTAATTCACACGACGAGGAAACTCTCCATCTAAGAATTCGTGACTCTTGGAGTCCATTGGCACCTGGATTGGATTGAAGGGAGAATAAGGAATGAGACAAGAGTGAGGTACTCGCGCTGTTTCTAATACTGCAGCTTGTGGCCGTAAGGCTGTGTTCGACCACCAGTCAGGGGGTCGCGTTCGGCCCTTGGAAATTCCAAAACTGTGCTCGGCTCTGCAGCGCTTCATGGTTCTTAGGATAGATCGAATTAACCCACAGGGAAAAATCCTGATTGAAATAAAATTCCAAAATCCACTCATTCTATCAACAGACAAACGCATTCTCGCAGCTTAAACCAAGCCAAATCAAACCTGTACATACACCACTGCCATAATGCACCCCATTTTCCGCTGTAACTGTTCAACAGTCAGGTTACTTGATTTCATTTTTATGATTGTACTTTCAGTGGGCGCCCAATCGAGCACTGATGACGCCAAGAGGGTTGACCAGATCAACAGCAGCCTGATGTGCGGCCAATTAATGAACTATAGTTCCCGATGTTTTGACACATTGAGACAGCCTTGCTTCTCCCAGTGTGGTAATCAAACAACAGTCATAATGACTGATTTTAAAGGACACTTATGATAACCAGGTCACGTTACACGCAAAGAATAGGTGAAAGACGTCATCCGGGACGCAGCGAATATACTGAGGACAGGGAGATTCTTCATCGTGAAACCTAAGTACCTAATAGATATTTTGAAAGATCCGGTCATCAGCTGTAATGATCCGAATGGATCTACAAGAAGTATCGTTAAGGTTTTCAGATGAAGAACTAAATGGATTATTTTGACATCAAGGTACATTTAGAATAATAGAACAGTAGACCTACTGAACAACTGGATTGCTGAAGTTACCTTGAATCTCGCTCTGAATAACAGCTACGGAAAAATCTGTCGATCGCATACCTGTCACCTATCAAAGAAGGAAGTGAAACAAAGTCCTTAGTGTAAAAAGATATCAAACAGCGATATAAGGTGACAACTTCTGTGGATAACTGGGAAGACTTTCAACCATTACAGGTTGTGAACCTTAAAAGATCGCGGAAATAACTCAGCCACAGATTATCTATATTACTTCAAGAATATTATCTTCAAATGAGTTCCGTGGTACCCCTCTATCCAGTCTAAGAACAGTAGCCTCACAAAACGACCATTATTATAAAGATGCCTGATCAAACTTTTTGTGTGTGAAAGCAAGTCAGACATCTAAAAATTCCAGTGTTTCTCGCCAGTCCACTCTTCCTGGAAGACATAAAAATAAGACAGGCACAAGCAATCAGGTGCGCAGCCCACCAAGAGCCGAATATATTTTCTGAAAAGTAGGAGATTTCTGAGTCACTGTTGGAGGCACCTCATATTTGAGAACAAGACATATTAGGAGAGTGACTCAGTTTAAAAGTCCGGAGAAAACGTGAAGCAGTTGACTTCAGCCACGGGAATGCAGAATGGACGGACTCTACGGCGAGTCAGTGAATATTTTTTGTCGGAGTTCGAACAGTTTGATGGAATCTGTACATTAGCTACAAAAGGGAGCAGACATTTGACGGGAAATGTCACTTACTTCACATTGCTAACGAACAGATTGTCAGTGACCTGAACCAATGTGAAATTTCACAGAGCTAGACCATGATAATCTAACGTAGGTGGCAGTATCCTCCCCGCCGATAAAATAATTATGCAGAACACTAACAGTTCATCTGCTTTAATCATCTATGTTGAAGATATGCGTTTTTAGACATACTGCACATCACAAACTTTCTCGTTTTGCATGCCTTTGCAGAATTTCGACTTCACCATTGAACCCGGCCAAACCGTTGCTCTGGCAGGCGAATCTGGGTGCGGGAAGTCCACTCTCCTTCAACTTATTCAACGATTTTACGATCCATCTGATCACGGTCCGGACAGTGGTATTTTCTTTGATGGATACCCCGCACGCCAGTTGGCTCCTGCGTGGATTCGTCGTCAGATTGGTATCGTGTCACAAGAACCTGTATTATTTGACATAACGTTACAGGATAACATTGCCTACGGGGATAACACTCGTACTGTTCCAATGGAGGAAATCATCAGCGCAGCCAAGAGAGCCAATATCCACGATTTTATCATTAGTCTACCCAAAGTAAGCTAACCTCAGTTTCGAAGAGCTCTAGTGGACATCAAACTTGTGACCCCCCTTATATCATCTATAACTTTATGCCAAAAATTAAGCAATAAATTTTTCGTAATTGGTGCAGTAGTCCCGTGACGAGCAGGGTAAACAAACGGTTGCCATCTCCATACCTACCTACTGAATCCCAAAATATTCATTCCCAAAAGGATTGTTCCGTGAATAATGCTCAACAAATTCTATGGAAAATGCACTTTACATCGTGTGAATTTTCACATACCACGAGTGCCAGTCTACGGGACACTCTATCAAGATGACATCTTGATTGATGTTGGCTGTTAATTTAAGACATACTGGTGAAAACGTAAGTGCCTACGCTCGACTTGTGAAGGATCAGAAGCAACTAAGTGATCAAGATTAGGCTCTCTGAGATAACAAACGCGACAGAGCAACACAATTTACCGACACTTTACGAGTTGTCAACGGGAGGACGGAGAAAGCAGCTGACCACTTCGGTCTGTGATATGAGAAGCCATTACTTCATCAGAATACATAGTAGAAGGCCCCAAATTTGTATTCGGGCACAGAACATGTTTGGAGTGTTTTTTACTCTTTGCGGATTTCACAGATCCACACATGAATATGGTTTCGACGGGGAGAAACAACTGATTCTAGTTAAATCTCTGGTTTAGTAACAAAAAATTAGCCCCGTAGGTCAACCTCACTCGGTACATGTGTTTCTCTCTTACGAAATTCCAGGGAGTCTGACGTCCGCTACCTCCCGGCTAGTAGTTCGAACACTTGACAGTTCGGGAGGTGTGGCAGATCAGCAGTGATAAACGACCACTCATCCTTCAATCACAGGATCCATATCACATATTCACAAGTGTGTCAAAAGTGTCACTCGTCACTTACACGGCGGTTTTCATCAAAAATTCCCGAATACTCCCCTCACGCTACCGTTTACAATGTTCTTCTTCAAATGAATGTTTCAGTTGTTAGAATATTCGAAATATGGAGTTGTTTCGCTTGACAAAACCTACTACTTATAAGATGACTGAAAACCCATCTATAGCCCGTAACTTTTCTCGCCCTTCTCAGGGCTCATTGGTTAGGCGCAGTACCTGAGTGCGCATCAAAGGTTCAGCTGGATTTAGTCAGGTTCCGGATATGCTTATTGCTTCAAGTGAGCGGAACTGATGATGTCCCATGCGTTTTTCACCGAGTCACACATGTATCCACTTGAACACCCGAGGTAACACGATTGGAGGTTACCAGAATGGAACAATTGTAAAGTTATCCGCACGTCAACTAACGGTCCACAATTGTCAGTTGAGACCCACAGGTTAACCAACGCCATCAATTAGATACACCCTGGACGGTATACTGTTAGACTGTACTAGTCCTTAAACAGACAAGTCTGTACAACAAGGTTACAGAGGGCCGCGTGTAGCCCTGTTGCAGGGTCATTAAACCGGGAGGCCAAGGTTTTATCACGAACCTTTTGCATGTGTAGGTATGGAACAAGTGAAAATAAACTAAATCAAATAAAGGAAAACGCAATACATTAAGGAACGGTGCGATGAGATACAACGAAATGCAACAGAATAAAACCGATCATGGGCTATCAGTGATGTACCAACAACCTATTGAGTAGTTTCTTATATGCAAATAAAATGTAGTTCGATGCATACCGAATAAACTTCAGTCAGCCATAACAGCAAACAGATAAACCAGTAACTTTGAAGCAGTTGATTTATCATTCGTGTGACACAAATGGGCAGTCTGTTACAGCAGGACAACTGTCTGGATTGTCCGAGTCGTGCAGTTACTAGAATAATGGATAACCAGGCTTCCGGGCTGAGCAATAAAAACTGCTTACTGTGCCATAAACTCTACCGGTTTACGTGACTTCTTGCAACGATACGGCTAAAGCGGAACGCGCAGTTTAACCGTACGACAATGGAGCTTTAAGATGCCGGAATCACTGGCATGCTGAAAGGCACCTTATTCAGGGGCACAACTTGTTGTTCAAACGAGAGTCATGTGGGTGCATCTTCTACAAACTCCCGCAACCAACAACACCTGAAAAAACCTGTTGGATTACAACCTAACGATGGCTTCCTGTAAAGTAGGAAACTGGAATACGCGGCTGGTTATTGTTTCAAATCCAAACCGAATCGGTTTGTGCATGCGTCACCCAGCGTCCAATGTGCATTGCTACAAAGTAGTGAATGCGCACATCGAACAAAGTTTAATCATTTTGGGGGTTTTGCGGGATAGTTAGTTTGTTCATAGTCACACCACTATTGTTAGAACGGTCGTCTTTCTGTTCTGGCGTGTTTATTCCATTGAGTCCACACCAGAGGGAAGCACTGGACTCGAGTTATGCTCTTATTAGAGCTCATCAACAGTGCATTCCCAATGGCCGTGCCAGGATTTGAAGCCCGAATATTTGACTTGCGAGGCGAGCGTGTGACCACTACTCAACCAAAGCACGTTGGACGCACGTTGGACGTCTGAACAAGCAATCGTACTAATACTTGAGCGATGTGATTGGTGTGCCCGACTCATCGAACGACGACCCAGTAAATGTCCTGATTTTGACGATCGATTGACCCGACAGTCAGGACTTCCCAGTCGGGTAGCGTGACACCGTTTGAACCCACTGGGAAACTTTTTGGTTGCAGTTCTGGGGTTTTGTGGGATAAGTATTTTGTTTAGTCACACCTTTGGTGTTGACTCATCGCAATAACTGCGCTAGAACAGGAAGACGGCCGTTCAAAACGAGAGTGGTGTGAACATGAACAAAATTTTAATCAGTCCAGTGACTTTTGTAGCAACAAACAGAAGTGCTCAAATGTTTTTTTCAGTAGTCATCGTTTCCTCGCTTCGTAAGCAACGTGAATTTAATTGAGCAGATATTTGGCTAATTAGCGCAAATGAGCGAAACTATACACCAGAACTCTAGCCATTTGTTTTTTTGTCTTCTTCATTACAGGGTTACCAAACCATGACTGGAGAAAAAGGGACACAGTTATCCGGAGGACAGAGACAGCGCATCGCAATCGCTCGTGCCTTGGTGCGAAAACCCGCACTTCTCCTTTTAGATGAGGCAACTTCTGCTCTAGACGTTGAAAATGAGCGCATCCTACAGGAATCACTAAGTAGCGCCACAGATCGACCCAAGACGTCCCTGGTTGTTGCACATCGACTGCATACAGTTGAAAAATCGGACACTGTTGTTGTTATCGATGGTGGTCGCGTTGTCGAACATGGCCCACCAGCTGCCTTATTGGCTGCCAGAGGAGCATTCTATGCGCTATATGCCGCCGAGAATCCGACGAATGAGCGTGACTGACAAGGGCAAACGCCTGTTCGGTGAACAAGGAGTGCCGGAAAAGAATGTTTCAAGCTGATATACCTTGTTAATTGGCTCGATCACATCAGTAACGACCGTATAACTAAGCCTTATTTTTATCTTTGCAAGTGATTTGGAGTGATTGTGTTACGTCTTTCAAGAACAAATTATGCTGATTATCAAAGGGTTTTACAAACATGCGAGTTTGAGGAAGTCTTGGGAAATCTCACTATCCGTAAGTTTTGTCATTTCAGCAGCCAGGGCCAGTAGGAAACTGTTATAAGGACAATATGAGTAGCATCACGAAAATGCACCATTTGGTAACATGGTTACTGGAAGTAAAGAAGGGCGGTTGTTTTGTGCATCAACTGGGCATCCTAAATCTACTCCTCTAAACAAGTATCCCCTGAGAAAATGTCGGCAAAAAAACCAAACCATTTTTCTTTTGTTGCAAGTAGATATGGTGTGCATGTGGATTTCAAGGAGGTAATGAACTGGCTATCCGTTAGCTGTGAATATCAGCTGGATCCCTCACACTACTGCTTAACCTAAGTATAAATTTCTTATGTTAAATTTCAACTGGCCGAAGCAAACCAGGGAATAGATCAATTGAAAACTATCGAGTGATGATGAATGGGTTAAAGCAATACCTAAATTTTGACACAATCTCCAACCTCAGACTGATTTTCTAAAACATCTTAAGTGACTAAATGCCATTTTAATTCGTACGCGACTGTTTGTAATTTTTAGGCTACTGAATTTCAAGAGGTTTTTGGTCTCCTCAAGTTGCGCAGTCAATAGAGTGATCCAATAACTCATGCAGTCAACTGCTCTGATCGTGAACTTATCTGAGATCTATGTGACCACTGTCCTTATTGTCAAACAACTATTTCCACCAAAGTATGATTAACTTAACCAACGATCTCGTTTGCTCCCCAGTAACATTCAGTTTAAATTACTAAAATAGCGAAAAAAACAAAGATTAGGCAGGGGAACGACGGTGGTAGGAAGCGTCTTCAATTTTACATCTCTCAATTTTACGCCTTTCAATTTTACACGGTAACGCACCGAGCAGGTCGAAGAGGCAGTTAAGACACGTCAAGTCTGTCAAATACTATTTACTTCTCAGCAAATATGGTACCTATGGGACCACGCACAATGAGCATAGAGCTTATGTACCGAACGATAAAGTGGAATACAAATTCAACGATCCCAGTCACACGAGAAATATGTCTTGATCTCGAATAAATTAAAGATGCAACCTTGCTCTAAAAATTAGTTGAGTTAGCTACAGTGAACATTATGGTAAGGTATTCAGCCCAAATGTACATTACTTGCCACAAAAGTATCACCATTTTTCTCTGTAAACGGTAATCCCGGAAATCGCTTTTTCAAGTCAGACTACCGAAGTGTCGACTGCTTCCTTTGAAAAGCCACACCAGCTGCTGTGAAAAGCCCAATGGCAGGACTGCAATTTACATTTTGAACTCGCCCATCCGCAATATTCCATAGTGGCTTAAGGAACAGGCTAATGCTGTTGGTTTCATTCAACCGCCAGCCCATTCGTATCACCAATATCCTCATGGACCACAATCCACTTGTGAGAAAATCAACTCCTAATACTCCCTTAACTAATTTAAGAGAAATTTTGCAATTCCAAAAAAAACTCAAAATACTGATGAACTACAAGGAAGATGTAGCGCAAGCCGTACTGGTTCACAAATACACTGCTGGGTCCACATGCGCCATAGTTAGCCAGGGATATACATTGTTAAATCGATGTATGCCATGGCTCATTCCGAACCATTTCACTGATGGAAACAGTAACTCGGCCTCGTTTTTTGCTTCGGCCTTATTGTTCCTGTTTGCATTCAGACACAGTGGCGGGGAATCTGTGTAATACCGAGTGGATTTTAAAATCAGGTTGAGTTAAATTTAGCTGACAAGATAGCCACGCATCTACTTTGTTCACTCGTGAATAACCACCTAACATTGCGCATCAATCCCAGCTTGATGTTAGAGAATTTTACTTTTGTCCAGTTTAGCACCATACTACTACTCACTGTCAGGCAAAAGCTCAACGGGTGATAGAAACGGTACCCATGAATGATAAAAAAACTAGCCTTGATTTGGGTTGATGGGTACCCAGAAGATTCGGAAAAACCTGATCCCGCGAAGGACACTGGCCCCCTTTCACAGACTCTAGTAATCAGTGACATTGGTTTAACCTTGGCAGAGTCCATATGCCTTTTTTGTATATGCACGGCACACTGAGAAACTAAAACTTCACGATCCCTTTCTAGTTACTGAGTCCAGCGCGAGTATCAAACGCACGTATTCGTTTTCCGAGGCATACTGCACAAGCACACTTAAATCAAGACGATAACCAGAGTCCGATGATAACAAGGCTGTTACGTCCAAGTTAGCACCGGTAAAACTAGTCCCAAGTGTGGCGTAGACATGCGAGTCTTTATAGATTAGTTTGAGTTATTGAAAACCTCTTGAGTGACTCCTAGACTATCCCGTACATTCGCGTACTTTCCTCCATAAAGCGAAAACGATCTCTTAGGTGAAATGGCGAGGAATGCTTCGTCCAAACCAGCTTCCTCCAATTCAGCGTAAATGGTAGAATGGTTCAACTTACCTCAAAATGAATTGTTTGGCTGATTGAATTGATTCCTTGACTCAGCTTTCATAGTCACCGTAGCCGAATTTTCGTCCGAAATGTTGAGTTTTATTACAAAAAGAAAGGAATTTTTACACCACTTCATAGACCTGAGTATTTTTCTTCCATCTGTGCAAAATGTTATGGACCTGAGACATACAGGATTCATGCAACCATTCCAGAAGATCCTCTCGTGTTATTTTGGGATCTTGAACCTACCACATTATTATCCTTCCAAAGAACGACCTCACCACATAGTGCGTACTGCAAGTATCCCTCCTCATATCCTCATTAGTCATCCCATCTGTAACCCTCATATTCTTGCAGAATTCCTAATTCTGCTCTCTAATCCACGATTCTACCTTCAATGTGGGTCAACAACCTATCTATAGCAAAACGCAAAAATACCTCCTAGGTTTTAGGGGCTTCGTGGCACTGGTGAGAGGTTTTCCTCGTCAACTCAATACGACACATTGTATATTTCCAAAGTATTCATAAACCTAGCCTAATTAGGGGGATAATGACAGAAACAATCTCCACTTGATGAGGATGGGGCTTATCTTGACATCAGTTTAGGTTTGCTCCTTCTCAGTGTTCAGTTTTCGAACCTTTGATCCGGGAGTAAGTTTTTACATGGTGGTCGCTCAACCAGTGCCAATCTGGCCTTACTGACAAATTGGGAAATACGATGATCACGGTACAAGTAAAGCTAGGGAACCAGTGAGTATTCTTTTTTAACCCTGCTAGGTCAAAGTCTGTTCAGGATGCTCCTTCTGTAGAGGTATGCCCAACAAAAATTTGAGGCGAGAGATACTTATCTTGCGCTACCTACTTTGTGGGTGATATTTATGATGACAGCAGGTTTCTGTTGAAATTTATGTCAGAATCGGATATCATATCAAGGTAAATCAAGGTAAATCAAGGTTATATTGGTCTAAAAAGCATTTTGCTTTACAATGACCAAAGGATATTGGTGTGTGTGTATGTATACAGATAAACGGAATGATATGACATATATGTTCTATTGTTTGTAATCTGCATCTCAAATGTCGATTAAGAACATGTTGAGGACAACAGATTGAACCAATTATTTGTGATGAAGGGTTTATGCCGAAGTCGAACTTCTCCAGAATATTGAGCAGACATTACTCAAAGGACGACTTCCTAACCGGCTCCAAGATTGTTCCAGTTGACCAACAAGTTAAAAGTTTGACAAAAATTTGGAAACAAAGGAACTGTAAGTAACTCCATCACCGCTGATTTCACTCAATCGCAGAATCACGAAATCTGTGTCCGACCTGGGTGACAGACTGCTGGTCTGAATACGCTGCTGCCCTAATTGGAGCTCGTCTTCCAATCGCTCTAAATGACATGGTGTAAAAGGAGTAGCTGGTAGTCGTGATCATCCTAATTAAACTCTTTCGGAAGCTAGGTCCAGGTAGTAATAGGTTTCGGGATACAACGAGCGCAAGCCGACCGTTTCAAAATTTTAGCAAATCAAAGATGTATCTCACCACGCACCATGAATCGTTAGGATCAATGGAAGCCAACATTGCTCATCCATATGAACTGCGGAAAACTCACAAGGAGGTTGTTCCACTGCGTCTCATGCTCAAAAATGATCAGGTCGCAATACACTTGATCGCCGATTGGTCGGCTGAAAATCAAGAACCAGTTCGACATACATTTTTCCTGGTATAGACTCCAAGATACTTTCGGTCCACAAGCATAGTCATCTCTACACTCTATGTGAAATCACCATTGACAAGTGTCTCGCTAGTGAAAACAGTTGATTGCATATAGGATTATATCATCAAACACAGAACTGATATTGGCTTGTCGCTGGATAGTCTTCGTAAATGTTTTCTGCAAAGTATGGCTAAAATTACCTAGCAAAGGAGTGAGCAAAAGAACAATAAACTGACTGTGAGGATGTGGAATCACCCGTAGTAATGCCGCTTGTAGATATTTTCAAGACGATGTTAGGGTCCCACCAACATCACACAGGTATCGAAAGGCTTGTGTATCACTGTAACCGCCAACAATAAGGTTGACAGTGATGTAGATTCACCTGAATTTTATTCGACGCCTGGGGCCATAATTCTCATCATAGATAGAAAAGAGAACGCCCGTGTCACACTATTGGAACTACCGTCCCAATGCAGCTCAGGGAGTATAATTTGACCCAACTTATAGCACAAACCAGCTTTCAGATGTACACAAAGCGTAGCTCTGCCCACAACCTCGCTTACATGACTCCGAATATCTTCTCCTTCTATATTTTGCGTGGGGAATTTAACAAACTGAAGATTCAGTCACTAAGAATCGTGTGCGA